TGTTTTTTCCATTGATGGTTAACCAAATAGTCAGTTAAAAAATTTTTTCCATTGATGGTTAACCAAATATAGTCAGTTAAAATTGCTTTTTCCATTGATTGTTAACCAATTATAGTCAGTTAAAAACTGCTTTTTCCATTGATGGTTAACCAAATATAGTCTGGTAAAAAACTTTTTTTTTCTATAATGCCAAATTCAATCTTTCAGCTAAGTTGGTTTATTTGAAATATTAAAACTTTTGTAGAAGTTTTGAATATTTACAAGTTTTATTACATGTAAGTTTTGTTGTTAATAAATTATTTGCAAATTTTTTCCAGTGTGTCGATTGGTAATTAACATTTTTTTCCAGAACCTGTTATCCTTTCTGTCCCCAAACTATGTTAAATGACGACTTTGATGCTAAATTTAGTTGCTTTTCATAGTCTCGTGATGTTGTTTGTACCTATGATGACATACCTTTTGAATGATAAATTTTCATCATAGGCCTGAATAGAGCACCTGGTGGACCATTACAACATCAAGAAGTTGTGAACAAAATGACTATTCAGAAAACATCAGCTATTGCCAAAGAACTACTTGATTGTGGTGAGGATGCTCACTTAATTTTGTAAATGCTGGGGTTGTTATTGGGTTTTATTTACAAGGCTTATAACACCAATTGAAAGACTTTTCACATAAATCCGTGATTCACCTGTGACAAGTTACATAGTAGGCTATCCAGATATCAATTTCACTCTGTGTTGTTTAATAAAAGTTCAAGTACTTGATGTTTTAAAAATATCAGCTGTAAAATTACACATCATTATTTATATACCAATACTTTCTAACTCTCAAACAAGAACCGTTCTGAAATATATAGTTTAGTAGTACACAAACAAATGGTAGCTCTCGAGTTATTAGCTAACAGTTTTTCAATAATTGTTAATTGTTGTTTTTTATTCTGTTGTATTTTCATAAAAAGTTAAGACACTTGCTTTATACCAATAACTATATTTGTATGGGATATGGACAGACAGACAGTGGAGCACTGTTGCATAGTGTGCATGTGCGTTAGTTTACAACAAGCTCCTAGGGTTCCTCTAAAACTCTGTGCACATTTGTAACAGAGAATAAATCACTGCACCAAAATGTCTACATGTATTACTTTTTCCAGTTTCACTGTTTTTCAATATGATAAAAGTATACAACACAACAGTTAAGACAGTTATAAATTATTGGCTAAGTTTGGTCTTCTTGGTAAGGAATTGTTTAAACAGTATTTGAATTTCCAATTGTTAATTTAGACTTTACAGTAAAACTTCGTACATGAAGGTATTTAGATTTGCATTTCAGCTCTGCATGGACATTTTCGATATAGTTTCTAATTTAAAAAAATAAATAAATTGGAAACTGCAAAATTATTTCTTTTTTAAGATTCTTACAATTTATTTAAGTATTTTCGTCTTTTCTCCACAATATTTATTTCAATTTAATGTAAAAACATCTTGAAAACACTGGATGTAACAAATGTCCAAAGGTCTGCCAGAAAAGTGTGGTTTTAGTGGTTTTTTTTTTTTTTTCTGTGTGTGAGTATACATTTAGATGTAAGTTGTGATCAATTTCACCATATCTACATGTCCTCTCAAGGTAACTTCTGATGAAGATGTGGCTTGGGTGTTTTATTGCTCAATTATTGTTTTGTTGCATGGCAGGAAAACGAACATTAAAAAAAAATTTATGAACTCTGTACTTGTGATAGTAGATGTTTCGCCCCCCAGTGGCACAGCAGTATGTCTGCAGACTTAAAACACTAGAAACCCGGGTTTCGATACCCGTGGTTGGCATAGCACAGATAGCCCATTGTGTAGCTTTGTGCATAACTTCAAACAAAAGTGATATTGTGAACGCAACAGTAGTTCAAGTTATTCTAGCTCTTTATGCCTCTCTTATGTAATTAGGGTTAGTTTGATATTTTTGCTGAAGTATTCTTCACCACAGGCATTTTCATGATACCTTACCGTGAAAGAGAGAGAAAAACAAGGGTAAAACTTTACACAAAAAGTGTTTTGTTTAGAAAATCAATATAAACATTATTATTATTTGTATTTCAGATAAGTTTGTTTAATGGGAATGTGCTCGCAAAATGAATGTTTTGGTACATTTCATAATTGATAAGAATCAAACTGTGTATTCTAAGAAGTGTTTCAATCCCCATGCTCTTGATAATATGTGAAAATTTATGCATGTTTTTATTTTGTATTTAGACGTTAACAAAAAACAGGCAGTATGTAAGGAACTAAAAGTTATTTTATTAGATTATAAAAGATGCAAGTTTATAAGTAATGTGGTTCATCAGTTTTACAGAACATAAACAGGCAGTATGTAAGGAACTAAAAGTTACTTTATTAGATTATAAAAGATATAAGTTTATAAGTAATGTGGTTCATCAGTTTTACAGAACAAAAACAGGCAGTATGATCTTTTATAATCTAATAAAATAATTTTTAGTTCCTTAATAAGTTTATAAGTAATGTGGTTCATCAGTTCTACAGAACATAAACAGGCAGTATGTAAGGAACTAAAAATTATTTTATTACATTATGTTTATACTTAGAACTGTTTGTTTCTTCAGGAGCTTCACCAACTGCAGAAGCTCTTTCCAAATCTGGACCCAAAACAGCAGCTGCACAAACTCAGACTACGGTAAGACCAAAACAGCAGCTTATGTACTTAGCAGAAGTTCTAGGGTTTCAAGTTCATTTCCGAGACTTTCCTAAGGTAAGAATCTCCCCTTTAACACTGACAAGTGGTTATCTTTAAAAAAATTACTAAGGTATCTTTTTATTTCAATCTAATGGTATGAGAGGAAGTGAAGAAAGAATTAGGTATATAAAAAGTAAAGTTAATAACAAGGTCTTGGTCTCACTATGCTTCACGTCATTTTTCAGTTGTATGTCCTGAAAAACAGACAATCAAGGTGAAATTTATAATGGAAGCAGGTATGATAGGGTATGTTTTTCAGGTAATAAACTGGAATACCCATCACTGCTTACTTTAATGATAAACACTCTTCATTTTAATAAATATTTTTCATATGGGGAAAAGTAATCTTTTTTTAGGTACGTTACAGAAATTTAATAGTAAACTTCATACTTGTAAATGTGTAGATTTTGTAGAAGCTCATTTTAGCTATTCATAGAATGTAGTTCTATAAAAGTGTTGAATACAGTTTCTTTTATGCATGTTAATGAAAATATATTGAGTGTGAGGAAATATTATATGTGGACTGATCTATTCACAGGGTAATAAAATGGAATACTTGTCACTGGTATCACTATCGACAAATCCTCCCCATGTCAGTCATGGCTCTGGTCCTACCATTGATACCTCCCATGACCAGGCTGCTCTTAGTGCACTGCGTTCACTTGCAGAACTTGGTTTAGATTCAGTGACAGAAGGAGTAAAAGCTGAACATGTAAACATCTCTCCTGGTGATGGGTATGTTAATAGTAACATGTCAAACCTATTCGTAAATAGTAATGACAGTTTAAGTGTAAGCACTATGGGATCATCAAAATGTGTGAAATGGCAACAGAAAGACTTTCAATATAGGTAATAGTTTATACATTTTCAAAAATTTTATATGTGTAGTAAGCCAGATGTTTTTGTCTAAAGCTATTTACTGGTTGTGACTGACCATAAATGTTTACAAAAGGGTCCTTAGCCAAAAAAAAAGGGTTGAGAACCACTGCTGTATAATAAGTGGTGAACCTGTTTTTAGATTTTATAAAATTCAACTCCTGAGATTAGTTTTTTAACTGTTAACTCTCTCAATACGGGCTCGGTCAATTTCACTGACCACGAGACCTCTTTGTACTCGTTCAAAGTGTATAGATATGATACTACTAAATTTTAATATAGTGTGTATATCTTCACGAAATTTGGCAGTCTTTCAGTAAATATTATAAGTCTTTCACATAAGTATTTTTAATAAACTAGAAAAAAAATTTGTTTGTGAATATATCAATTATTTGTTTTGAATAGTCTGTGTGAAAAGTGATTTTCATGTTAAGATTAAAAATGCCTTTCTTCATCTCAAAAACCTCATATTTCAGTTTTGTAATCTCTTAAACCTACTAAATACATTTCAAGTTTGTTTTTAGGTAAAATTTTATATTTTCTGCTAACTCTATACAAGGTTGGTCAATCTGATCGACCTTGTAACTACCAAAAAAATTCGAAATCTAAATTACCCTCTTTTTTTTTTTTCTATAATGACTTCAAATGTAACATGAAACTACATTCATTTATATTAAGTAGCTTTAAACTCACAACAGTACACATCTATTTGTAATTAAATTTTATTGTTTTATTGCCCTTTGAATCATGTCTAACTACTATTTGCACCATTATAAGTTGTAAATCGCTTGGGGAATGTGCAGCTCACATTACGCTATTGATTTACATTACCCGCGAGCTGCTCGCTTGTGTGCCTTATGAAATATTTTTATTATATTATTTATTTTACCTAATCTAATCTTAACTAAAGAGATCCCTATTTTTACATTTTAGTTACTTTTATAATAATAAATAAAATATAAACATAAAAAAACAAGAAATAAAGTACTTCCCCGTGTCTTCTTTTTTTTTACTATCAACTGTCGATGACACTTAACCCTACTTTTTTTATACAAATGGTAGTAATGCACAAGATAATTTTTATTTAATTAAATAATGCACCAAAGAACATGGAATAATAACATGCAAAAAGCAATCAATTTCCTCTAACTATCACAATTTACCTGTTTCAACCCGGGCTCGGTCTGTGGGACCAACCTCGTAACCATTTTGCACTTGTTATAGTTTTCATGCTATAACTTTTAAATTAGTAAGCAAGTGTTAATGAAATTTGGCAGTTTATCAATAAACATTACAATGCTTTCATATGCAAAATATCTAATTTTTTTATTAAGTCTTAAGGTTATTAAAGCAATGTTTCTCTCATGCTTTTTTTCTTTTCACATCTTGCCAATCTATCTTGCAAAGTAATTTTCGTTTTAACATTAAAAATATTTTTATGCATCAGAAAATTTCAAAATTTCACAATGGAAATGTTTATAATTTCCAAATAGTTATCAAATGTTTACTAAGAAAAACTTTATATTTTATCTGTTGTTTTCAGTAATTAATCTCTGTATGGGTTCGGTAAATTTGACCGATCTCACAGCCACCATAAAAAATTAGGAAATAAAAGTAAATTATGCACCTTTCATTCTAGAATGAACACAAATTATAACACGAAAACACAAATGTTTAGACGAAATAGCTTAAATTTCATAAGACAATACATTTATATATGTATATTATTATTTTTATATTCATTTTTCAACTGTGCCTGGCTAACAATACAGAAGTTATAACAACGCAGCTCATGTGCACTCATGTTACTGTATCAAATA